TGGTTTTTCAAAACTTTCAAAAATTTTGAAGATTTAAAAAATTCGAAAACTTTGAAGATCTCAATCCTGTAGTCGGAAACAGTGAGGGTACTCTCAGGAATTGCAATTCTTGCCTCTGAATATGACTGCTCGAATCTTTTTAGTTTTCGAGATTTGACGTTTTTTAAGATTTTTTCAAGATTTTCAAAAGAATTTAGATACGAATAATTTCACAAAATTTGGTTCCCACCTCTATAGTGAAGCTCTGTCAGGGTTTTCCCAGGAGCTGCAAATCTTGCCTCTGAATATGACTGCTCAAATCCTCGGAGTTTCCGAGATTTGATGGTTTTTAAGATTTTTTCAAGATTTTTAAAAGAACCTAGATACGAATAGTTTCACAAAACTTGAATCCCACCTCTAAAGTGAGGCTCTGTCAGGGTTTTCCCCATGAGTTACAGATCTTGCCCCTAAATATGGCTGCTCAAATCTTTGGAGTTTTCGAGATTTGATGTTTTTTAGGATTTTTTCAAGATTTTTAAAAGAACTTATATACGTATAATTTCACAAAATTTGAAGTTCCCACCTCTATAGTGAGGCTCTGTCAGGGTACCCCCAGAAGTTGTGAACTTTTTCTCCAATTATAACTGATCAAATCCCTGTAGATTTTGAGACATGACGTTTTTTGTGATTTTTTTTCAAAAATTTTTCAGAAAATCTTTTAATTTAATTTTATCACTACATTTGAATTTCCCAAGCGTTTAGTATGGGGCTATCAGAGTGGTCTCAAGGTCTCAAGTGTTGCGAACCTTGTCTCCATTTATGACTGCTCAAATCCCTGTAGTTTTTGAGGTATGACGTTTCTTAAGATTTTTTCAAAAAAAATTCAGAAAACTTGGATGACAATTTTTTTTTGAAAATCTCAAGTACCCAGCCCTGTAATGAGGGCTATCAGATTAATCTCAAGGGTTGCGATCCTTATCTAATTATAACTGCTCTAATCCTGGTAGTCTGATGTGCTCTATCCGCTCGGTAAATGTGGTATTCAGCAAGTAGTAGTTCAGAGTTTGAGATATTTTCGTTTAACCAGGTCTCACAAATAGAACTAACGCTGTACAAATCAATTTTTATTGCATTTGCCATTTTGAATCTTCTTTCATAGTTAACTAAACTGCGTGCATTAATTTGTCAAATGTGGAGATGATCTAGTCAAACGTTGGAGGTTGCATTTTCTTGTTCTGGCTGGGAAGTTTGGTTTTATTGAACTTTTGCTCCATCATGGAAAAGCTCAAGGTTTCTTATTTTCAGTTTTTCACGTGGTACGCCTTCTTCAAGCAATTCCCTACGTCGTTTCAGGCAGAGGTTTTCTTTGATAGAATCTTCTTTAGTTAGGGCACGTGACAGAAATATATTCATTTCTTTCATTTCATCTCTTTTTTCAGTACTTTTTGCAATCACTAGATTGACTGCTGCTGGATTTTCAAGCGTAACTAGAAGTGTTTTAGGCTTTTTGCTTTCTTTGTTGAATGATGTTTTATCGTCATTTAGATTAGTTTATTGTAAAAATCCTGACGATGCACATAGTTGCGAAAACGTTTGAAATTTACTTTTTAGCAAAAATTTCTTCCTAAATACAAGTACTTTTACTCGCAGATATCCTTTTCAGGAAATTTTTGCCAAAAAAGTAAATTTCAAACGTTTTCGCAACTATGTGAATGGTCAGGATTTTTACAATAAACTACTCTAAATGACGATAAAACATCAATTTACAAATGTTATATACAATAAATCACATACAATTTGGTTCTAAACCATAATGATAAAAAATTGGCCAACCACAGTTGGCCTCTAAAATTACTATTAAGATTAAAATACTTTTAACCTCTAAAATTAATTAAACATTTTTGAATTAATTTGTCTGGAAGTTTCTGAGTCATAATTTCGATTTAGACATGTACGTTTTGATTAAAAAACCAAAAATATTTTGGGACTAAATTTTCAGTGTTAACTCCCTGCTCCTAAACTCATCGCGCGTGTTCAAGCCCGGTTTCTCTTTCCTGATATGTATTGCCTCTAGTGTTAGCAATTTTGTTTGGTTGTTTGACCTATCTATAATTTCCCAACTAAGATCTGCGCTATTTCCCTCAAGTTGGCATTGCTGAAGGTGGATGTCTACCGGTGAGTCTGCTTTCTTATGTTCCTCAATTCTAGTGGTCAAATGTCGAACAGTTTGTCCAATATAGGTGGAAGTGCATCCACTACATGACAAGTTATAAACCACTCTTGACTCGAGGTCATTAGAAAATGCTGACTTCAGTGATGGTAAACATGATTGCAGTTTTCTTGTGGTGAAAACCACTTGAACGTTAGTTAATTTTCGTAACCTGTTAGCAAAATATTGGCTCTGGTTACCTCTATATTGCACCATCAGCATTGGGGGCTTCACATCCTTTGGTGATTGAACTGACAAACCCCTGTCACTATCCAAGGGCTTGCCCTTACCCTCGATGATCTTGCACAAGGCGTCTGAAGCCACCTTTGCGGACCAATTTTCAGGGTACTGATTTGTCAGCCATTGCGCCCTATTAGTTTCCATAGCCTTATCAAATTGCTCCCAGCTAGATGTACTCCTAAAAACCTGTGTACAGTGCCTTGGATAACACTACGTTTATACTGAGTTGGGGCGCAGCTTCTATAGTTCAGTATAGTCCCTGTATCTGTTGGTTTTTGATACCAACTGCAAGTTACACGCCTACCCTGCGATACATTTATGTTCAAATCCAGGAACGGCAAATTCCCCTCAGAATTAGTTTTCTCTAGAGTGAACTGCAAATTTAGTAGAGAATTGGCGGCATCGAGAAGACAACTCGGCTCCCCTCTGACTGTTCTAACAATGTCATCCACATACCTGAGGAACAATTTCACCTGGGGAGTATCCTTCTCCTTGTTCTTAGCTTGGCAGCAGCTTTCACAGTACCAGACTATCTCGGTTATTGATGCGTATACGTCATCGGATTTTTTTCCGCATTTTAGATGATACCAGTTTCGGCAACTGAGCAGATTGCAACAAGGATTCCAGCTTTGATTCATATGTTTGTTTCCTCATTATGCAAAAACCAACCCCCTTATCAAAAGGCACAGCCAGCAACCCATTAACTTTGAGATGTTTCCTCGTTTTTTCAACGGCTTTGTCTCTTGGGGTTTGCCGTACGTTTTTTGCATATGCCTTTGCCGCGGCTTCTATTTCACATAACGTTTCACCAGCTGTTTTTTGATTTTTCAATTGTGAGAGGAAAATGTCTATATCCGCCAAAAAATGTGTTTCGTTAAATTTGTCTCTAATTGGATGCTTGGGGCCCATTGATAGCACTTCATATACCCATTCAGGCAGTTCAATATTATCAAGTACCTTAACTGATCGCTCATTTCTCCCCCCAAGAGGTTTATCTTGTCTCTCGGACAGTTTTTATAACTTTTTTCTATGGTTTTCTGATGTTGTCTTTAAGCTTGCCTCAACTTGACGCCTCACGAATCGAAAAATGGATGCCCACCACTGTTTGTCAATTTCTTTTTGCACCAGTGATCTTGCTTTCCTTAGCATCTCCTCGTACCTTTTCCTATCCTCAATTGCCCTAGAAGTTTCAGTCCTTAGTAGTTTCAATTGAAAATTATGCACAGCTTGGTCAGAAAAAAACCCCGTTCTCGGGGACCCTAAACTTGAAAAAATCCGGTATTAGATCGTTTTTCAGACATTTTCTCAGAAACTTCAGTCTATGTACAGATACTTGAACTTTTTTAAAGAATTTTAAATACTCTAACACAATTTTCCAAAATAGTTTTCTTTTTAAAATTTTTCTGAGCCAAACAGCAGGCAAAAGTACTGTGGTCATTGTTTTGCAGGCCACGAGTAATGAAATTCACAAGGCACAAAGCAAAACAAATCACACTCTTCTCACCCCTGTCTTTGAAGCGCAGACACTTCCTCTGCCTTCAGCTTCTGCTCACGTCTTGCTTCCGCCTTCCTCCTTGTCTGTGATGGTCTCTGTTGTTTGCCCCTGATATTGCCAATCAGCTCTGACATCCTTTCTTTGTGTGCCACTACCAATCGCAGAGATTCCTGCACCAAATCAGCACTCTGGTGCAGCTTCAAATATTCCTTGAGCTGCTCCGGGTCGTTTTGCTTGCTCTTGGAGAGTAGCCGTTTTGTAGCTGGAATAATGAGCACCCCTGTGCCGAGAAGTTGACTAAACAAGTCGGGCGTTCCTTCCCTTCTGCAATAATATATCGCCAATATCTGCTGCTTCTTCGACTTCAAATAGTTTGTCAGCTCCTCGACACCGGCTGGGCGATAGTTGTTTGTTCTGTGGCTGCTAATGGTGGTGTTCACCACGTCGTGCCACACAACCACTTTTTTCTCCTTCAGTGGACTGTCTTCCAGTAGTCGTCGGAGGTTCTTTCCTTGGTTCAGCAAGTTGTTATTAAGGGATAGGCCAGGAATTGCTGTAACAAGGCTCTCGTATTGCTTTTTCTCACCTGTGTTAAGGGTGTTGATGCTGTGGAACAGTGAGCTAGCTGCTACAATATGAAACATTTCGGTAACTCAAATAAAAATCGGCCATATTTTACGTATCGATAAAAAAACACTATAAAAATTCTCTATACATTGATGAAAATCATTTCAAATTTTTATACTGGCCCTTTAATGGGAAAACAGTTGGAATTTCAAGCTCTTCGCTTTTTGGTTTATCACGAATTTACAAGTAAAATTGAAGAAATTTTTGCTAAAAAGTAAATTTCAAACGTTTTCGCAACTGTGTGCATCGTCAGGATTTTTACAATAAACTACTCTAAATGACGATAAAACATCAATTTACAAATGTTATATACAATAAATCACATACAGTTTGGTTCTAAACCATCATGATAAAAAATTAGCCAATCACAGTTGACCTCTAAATTACTATTAAGATTAAAATACTTTTAACCTCTAAAATTAATTAAACATAAAATACCTTTTCAGGAATTAATGGAATCGTCCTACTCCAATTTGGACAATGTTGCTAATAGTTTAAGCGACGCTGACATCGTGTGGCAAGACCACTCGTATGCGTCTTTGAGTCATATGCAATCGCCAGGTTCTAATACTCAAAACACCGTTGGCTTGCAGACTGCGAAACAGGAGAGCTCCAGTAACCTGATACACTCCGAAGCAAGCTCGGACCAACAAATTCCAGAAGAGCTAAAAATTTTGCCATTCAAGTCCAGAAAAAGTAAGGCCCCTTCATCTATCATAATTGAGAGATGCGTGAAACCGGAATTACCTCAAGGTCAAAGAAATCATTTTAAAGATTTGAATGAACTAGAAACAAAAAAATTGAACTCTGATCTGCTACCCTCCCAAAAAGCGGATGCCAACACTGACAAAGTTGAGAGAGCAAAGCATATTTTGCACACATCATATTTTTCTACCAGTTCTGGATACGAAGAATTAGATATTGTAAGTTGCAATGATGATTGCAATAGAAGTCCCGAAAATGAAGCTTTCTCGTTTGACAAAGAAAAACTGCGGACGAGTCTTTGTGAATTGGAGCGGTCTGTTCGGTTCATCCGGAAATCAGACCCAGGAGTAATGTGGGAATCAAAAGTCGATAAATCATCATGGAATAACGAACAAATGACATTTTTCAAAAAAGTGCTCAGTTTGCTAGCTACGGATACCCTGAAGCGTCTTGTGTATCAAATTGATAATGATTTCGCTTCCATCCATACCCTCAACATCATCAGATACTCCTCTCAGTCTTTCAGAGACATCCTCGCAGGATTTTGTTTCTGGGATTTGGATTTGATAGATTGGATGCATTGTATTTTGTGTAATCATTTGAGCAACCAATTGCTTGTAGTGTATCTCCAATTGCTACAAAATCTTAAGCTAGACATACCCAGTCTCATTCAAGGAATAATTGAAAGGAACAAGTTCAAAATCAGCACGTTAACGTCCGATTTCTGGATGTGCTTAAATCGGAGACTTGTTGATCCTGCTGTAAACAATGCTCTGTCGCAAAGCCATGAAGACAATCGCAAGAAGAATAACATTGAAAGTACTCAAGTCATTGTCATTCCTAATCTAGCTGCTATGGATCGAACTACTCACCAGAAACATTCTCTAAAACGATTCAGGTCCTATGTCAGTCAAATGACATCGCTTGGAAAAGTAACTGCGGTTAATGTTCAGACAGGATCAGATTTGACGTCGACACCGGAGAACTACCTATCCCGTACTTTGTCTTCGGTCCACACAAAACTTGACGAAATGAAGCATACAAAGCAGGTTAAATCTGTGGTTCTCGTTGGCTTTGGACTTGGGTCGCTGGTTTGTGCAATGGTAGCTGCTGAGGCATCTTACAGAATTTCAGCTTTTGTTTGCATCGGCTTGCCACTCAGATCTATAAATGGACAACATACTTCAGTGGAAGACTATATGGCTCATGTGACATGTCCAGTACTTTTTGTTATCGGAGAAATGTCCAAATTGTGTTTGTTAGATGATTTGGAAGATTTGCGGCTAAATATGCGTTGCAAACTGTCTTCAGTTGTTGTCGTGGATGGATGTAACGATAACCTACTCATAGGACAGAAGAAAGCATTTGAACAAAAAGTAACGCAATCAATGTTGGATAAATATATTTGCTCGGAGATCAACGCGTTTGTTACTAAAACACTTAAAAAAGAACTTTCCGTTGTAGTTTCAAGGACTCCAACTACAACGGAAACAGCTGCGTTGCAAACGGCGTGCGACAAATCGCAGGCGTCAAATAAATCGAACGCTTCTAGAATGACATCTAAGATGTCATACGAAGCGTCGGAGAAGCTGCAACGTGTAGCTGAGCGTCATCGAAAGCAGCAACAGGCTCAACAAGATGATGAGTCAAACGCAGCAGCTAATATGCTAGAAAATATTCTGGAATCGGGCGGTAATACTAGCGCAGCTGTACCATTTGCAAGTAATGTTAATAGCAATTGTTCTAGTCGTGAAAATTCGCCATCGAGGTTGGCAAATCTGAAAAAGAGACGGTTACCCGATGAAGATACAGACATAGAAACTTCAGAAGAAGACAGTAGTGATTCGGGGGATTCGTTTGCTTCCTCTAATTATGCAGACATGCGAAGAATAGGCGAAACCATGATAACATCCAAACTGAATATGCAATATTTTTCGCATAACGGAAAATTTAAATCCAATAAAACTAAAGGACCTCGTCAAAAACAGATTCAAAGCAAAAAATCTATACTTTCTCTTCCATGTAAAGGCAGTGTGTTGCCTAAAAACAAAAAGAATCCGTTCAAATCATTATCATACTCTCAAGACATAGCATCGGGTTCCTTCTAATTGATTGTTTTTGAGATTAATTTTGTAGAAATATAATTAGTATAATTAGCTTTTGCTTTAGCAGGACTAGTGTAAAAGTATCAAGGCTCAGAGTCTCGTTTTGTGTGATACAAGAAAATCAAAAGTTTGCCTTTCTTGGATGCTTTTCAGATTTAGTTTTGCGTCTTTAAACTGGAGATTGGGCAGTGCCTTGGTACCTTGAGTGTCGCAATCGAAGCAGGTTAGTGATCAAAGAGCACCGAGATGCACAAGATCCACGTGAAGAACAAGAGCCAAGTAGAAACGACAGAATACTTCGACGGAAGATACCAGGCAGTGTGGATACTTTTACTACTTTTTAATAAAAACCTCTATTTGCAGGCGATCCGTTGATGCTGAGTTATGCTTCGACATGCGTGAAGTATCGATAACTATTTCAATATTAAGTGTCGATAAGCAAAGAGATTCCTTGAACTAGAGAAATTGATACGTAATTTGCTTCCACAAGTCACTAGTAGGCTTGTGGAGTGCTCCAAATGAAGATAGTTATGGGCAATTTTCATAGCAAAAAAATCAATTTAGAGTTGAAAAAATGTAAGAGTAGTTGACCGTCTACATACACATGCAAACGAACTCCCATTAATTCGATAATTTGAACAGGATAACTGGAAAAACCGTCCTTTCAAAAATCTGCGATTCGCGACTGATATGAAAATCCTTAGTTATGGCCTTAGTTATAACAAAGAAACGGTTTCCAGGTTTATACTCACTAACAAAATTGAGTTATCGTATAGTTAACCACTGATTTTTACATCCGAGAGAACGATATTGGACCATATGAACCTTTTCAGACGTTTTGTTTTCAAACGTTCGGTTGTGCTGTCTGTTCATTCTGTTTCGGCGTTGCGCTTTACCTTCTTATTGATTGTAGGGTAACAAGGACGACTACTTGGACCAGATAGCGAACAGCAGCACACTCTATGTAGGCAACCTCTCCTTCTTCACTTTTGAGGAACAGATTTACGAATTGTTCTCTCGGGCGGGAGACGTTAGACGAGTGATCATGGGTCTGGACAGGGTGACGAAGACACCGTGTGGATTCTGTTTTGTGGAGTACTATACACGAGATGTAATTCAACACAATTGCTTTTAAAACTGAAAATTCAACCAACCAATACAGTTTGGCGAGCTTATAGAAAGCAACGAAGAAAAGTCAAATTCCAAAAACGTATATTGTATCACAAAAACGTTTTTTTTTTGCAAAAACATAACAAATGAACAAACCAATAGCAAAAACACCTTTTAAAATGATGAAATCATTAAGAAACAAAACAAAAACAGTCAGTTGAACAACACAATCTATCTGCGAACCAATTGAACAATTATATCACAACCACAGGAGTGAAAACAGCTGAAGATCATAAAGTTCATAATGAAAATACAGAAACAATTCAAAATGTGTTTAGTCTGTAGTACTGTCGCAAACAAATTTCAGCGAAGTCTAATACAAATTCAAATCTAAAACACTAACTAGTGATAGATTATTTTGGAATTAACAATTATTTGAATACTACGAGCACCTTTTTTGACGCTTTTAATTAATACGGCTATTTCGGACAACGTTTCCCCAGCTGATTCAGTCTGAAAATCTGAAATTAATTCATTTTACAAAATCAAGAGGTCAAAATCTGATTGCTCCTACTCGTCCCATAACACTGTTGCCAATTTTCAGCAACGTTTTCGAAAATAATATTCGAAACAATTGATTATGTTTCTCGAAAAGAACAATGTTGCAAACATGCAAAATGATTGCCGAAAAAAAAAATGAAATGCTTTCGATTATTAGTCTCGTCGAAAAATAAGAAAAAATAAATTTTATAAAAGCAGACAGTGTCTTCATCGACTTAACAAAAGTGTTTTAATCATAGACTACGCGAACCAATGCATAATTTATATTTGAATGAAAGACAGCAATCAATTCTGTAACAAGCAATCAATTCTGAGAATTTTATCAAATGCTCTGCGCTCGGCCTCATACTTCTCCTAATCTATGAAAATGCTGATAAATTTGTTTGCCAATGACACTTATATAACAGGAAACATTGAAAAAGAATCTCGCTGAAATTTGAGTTATTTTAAAAATAGTTTAGATAATTGGTAATTGTTTACCACTTATATACTGACGAGAAATAGCGGAAAGACAAAAAGTGTAATTTTTTGTACCACCAAAAAACAAATAGCATTGTCAATTTTGAAATTAATAAGTCAGATTTTTTCTCTGAATAATCAACCTTGGTTTGGTTTCTGATAACAGTTTGAATTTCAAAGAGCATATTGTACATGTTTAGAAAAGTTTGCTAAAAGCGCTGCGACTGGGAAATTTTTTACACAAGGAAATGATTAAGTTTACAACACCTATGTTAGGCCTGTATCCGATTATTAAACTGTTATTGACGTATATACGGCACTGCCAATAAAACGGTTATTGAAGACTTAGAGAAATAACATCACTTTCTATGGAGACTATGCTTGAATCTTTGAAAGATTGACAGTGTGTTTGAAGCACGATGTGAGAGGAAATTGCTAAGAAAAAAAGAGATTCATCTAAAACCGCTGATTAGCCTTTTAGCAGAAATTTTACGATTCGACTCACATAATGATGATTTGAAGTCAGCAAAAACCAAAACTGAAGAACAAAAATCCTTTGGTGGAGAGATTAGATAAGGGGGCTCAAAACAGAAGTGACAAAAATAAAAGAATAGGTGAAATGCCCGAAAACAGAATAAGAGTTGTTTAATGCAATCATTCAGATTTTTGAAAACATAATCAAAATGTCGTTGCTAAAAATGAAAATTAGCTGTGTATCTTGAAAAAATCTCTTGTTAATATCTTGTTCGATATATTTTTTTGAATATATATATATAGGTAGATGAGGGAATTCTAATTGGTACGTTTTAGGCAAACAGTTAAAACATAGTTCATATTCTGGTAGCTAAAACTCATCAAAAAAACTGTTTTTCTTTCTTCAAATAAGTTGATAGTATCATGGGTAGCACATTATTTCGTGAAATCAATGATTTTCCTTTTTTTATCTGTCTACAATGTTTGAACGAATCTTTCTCTACAATGTTTGAACGAATCTTTCGTATGTCTTTTTTAATGTATAGTTTTTACTGCTGAAAGTTATTGTTGTGTTTAAGGGTATTAGAAACAGGTAGCAAGACCTCATAATCTCCTACCATGTTTTAAATTATGTAAACGAGTTCATACTATTGTTTTTTTTTCTCGAATCAAGTGGAATCAAGATTGTTGCTCGAAAAAAATTGAAAAGCATTCACATATTTTAGCGGTGTTATTGCCGAATTAAATTATGGGAACACTTGTGTCATTTTAAATTTTTATTGATGAAACTTTTTAGTAATCGTTTTTGGAAAATTCTCAAGCTTACCTTTGCCTTTCTTAAACGAGTTCATTATTCACTTAGCGTTTGCTTCTGTCCGGTCAATTTCTTTGTGTACCAGTCATCGCATTTCTCAAAGTATAATGTTTATGTTAATGGAAGCTCCATAGACTCACTGATCCTGCAGTGATGATCTACTAGAAGAAGATCTACTAGAAAACGATGCTGTAAAATATCCAAGTTTTTTTATAACATATAAATGTTATCAAATCCGGTTGCTGAAAATCCACTGCAACCATTTAATGTGTTTTGTAGACAAGGTTTTTTTGAATTCTTTTTAAGCGAGAAAAGTATGTTGCAATTGGAAGCTAGACTTTTTTAATCGTTCTTTCATTGAATTCGAACAAAAGCACATAAGATGTTTCAACACTTGCTTTTTTTATTGAATCCAATTTAAGTGCATGATTGTCGCAGAGGTAAAATACAAGCATTGACCGCCATAGGTGGATAGTTTTTCTTCCGCTCAGATTTTTTCGCACACTTCCTCAGTATATATTCTTTCTTCTAATTGCTTTCTCAAAGCATTTTAGAAAACATTTTTTTGCAGTCTGCTTTGTTTGGTTTGTTTTTCAAAGCGCAATACAAGTTGACTGGAAAAAGTTTCTTCGTGAACTTTATACAGACTGTTAGATATCAGAAAAATATATTTTTTGTCAATGATTTTTCTTTTTTTTATCTCTACAATTTTGAACGAATCTTTCATTACAATGTTTGAACGAAGCTTTCGTGTGTCTATTCGAATGTATGGTTTTTTCTACTTAAAAATATTGCTGTCTTTAAGGGGATTAGAAGCAGGTAGCAAGACCTGATAATCTCCTACCAAGTTTCAAATTATGTAATCGAGTAAATGCTTTTGTTTGTTTTTCTCGAATCAAGTGGAAATTTACTATGATTGTTGCTCATAAAAAATTGAAAAGCAATCACATATTTTAGCGGTGTTATTGCCGAATTAAATTATGGGAACACTTCTGTCATTTTAAATTTTTATTGATGAAACTTTTTGGTAATTGTTTTTGGAAAATTCTCAAGCTTACCTTTGCCTTTCTTAAACGAGTTCATTATTCACTTAGCGTTTGCTTCTGTCCGGTCAATTTCTTTGTGTACCAGTCATCGCATTTCTCAAAGTATAATGTTTATGTTAATGGAAGCTCCATAGACTCACTGATCCTGCAGTGATGATCTACTAGAAGAAGATCTACTAGAAAACGATGCTGTAAAATATCCAAGTTTTTTTATAACATGTAAATGTTATCAAATCCGGTTGCTGAAAATCCACTGCAACCATTTAATGTGTTTTGTAGATAAGGTTTTTTTGAATTCTTTTTAAGCGAGAAAAGTATGTTGCAATTGGAAGCTAGACTTTTTTAATCGTTCTTTCATTGAATTCGAACTAAAGAACATAAGATGTTTCAACACTTGCTTTTTTTATTGAATCCAATTTAAGTGCACGATTGTCGCAGAGGTAAAATACAAGCATTGCCCGCCATAGGTGGATAGTTTTTCTTCCGCTCAGATTTTTTCGCACACTGCCTCAGTATATATTCTTTCTTCTAATTGCTTTCTCAAAGCATTTTAGAAAACATTTTTTTGCAGTCTGCTTTGTTTGGTTTGTTTTTCAAAGCCCAATACAAGTTGACTGGAAAAAGTTTCTTCGTGAACTTTATACAGACTGTTAGATATCAGAAAAATATATTTTTTTGTCAATGATTTTTCTTTTCTTTTTTTTTATCTCTACAATTTTGAACGAATCTTTCATTACAATGTTTGAACGAAGCTTTCGTGTGTCTATTCGAATGTATGGTTTTTTCTACTTAAAAATATTGCTGTCTTTAAGGGGATTAGAAGCAGGTAGCAAGACCTGATAATCTCCTACCAAGTTTCAAATTATGTAATCGAGTAAATGCTTTTGTTTGTTTTTCTCGAATCAAGTGGAAATTTACTATGATTGTTGCTCATAAAAAATTGAAAAGCGATTACGTATTTTGGCGGTGTTATTGCCGAATTGAATTATTAGAACATTCTTGTCATTTTAAGTTTTTATTGATTAAGCATTCTCAAATATTCAGAAAAATACAGAATCAGAAAAATATTTAATTCTTAGGCCTCTATGAACGATGTGATTTTCATCTGTCTGTCTTGATGATTTTCTTTTGGTGGTTCATGATTTCTTCAGTTCATTTTATTGCATTTGTAGAAAGGAGGGCGAATTCCACTTGACCTCTAGTTTCAAATTTGTCTGAATTTCCAGCGGAAAGAAAAAAGAAAGACTTATTGATGCAGTTTTCTCTAAGTGCGATAAATTTGCGAAAAAGTGTCAATAATAATCAGAATATGAAATTCAAGGAGCTTCAGCGTGATATTTTTCTCTTTGAAAGTTGAAAAGTGTTCAAAAGTTGTCAGTCATTTTTTTGGTTTCCTTGTTCTTTTACACTTGCGAGAGAAACTGTCTTATAATCGGGAACTAGACTTTTTTTCCCGTAAACAACTTTCCTTACAAATTTTATTGCTTTTTTACTTGCTTTTTCATTGATTCTTAACAATTTCAATAAAAACTCAGCACATGTTAGAGCAAAGTTGATCTAATTTTTCCGCAAATATTATTTAATTTTTTTCTGAAATTTAGAGAAAAAAGCATTTTTCTATTTGTTTTTATTGTGCGTTTTTCTGATGTTGATTTTGTGATAAACAGTTTCATCTATCTTTCTTTGAAATTCGAAACTTGAGATTTTTCAAATAATAAGTCAGTTGTTCTCTGTTTAGTTGCGTTCATAGACTCTTTTTCAATTGTCTGTTGGCCATGTTCTTTATACAAGGAGCTTCCTCACCTTCCCCTCAGAGCAGCTCCAATATATACAGCTGGCTTTGCTACAGATTTTAGACAAGAAGTATTTATTTATTTCTCTTGATATATTTATCATTCAATTCTGCGAAATATTGGAATATGCTGCTTTGTTGTGTCGTTATAGTTTTTTTAAATAGTCATTCATTTGGCAGCGCAAGTGGTGCGATGCTCCGCTTCGTCTCTGTGTTAAATCTTACTATCAATTACCTATATGGCTCAACCACCTTTCTTTTAGAGTTTGTAATTTGAGCTGTTGTCAGAGTTGGACAACCGACGTTTCAATGAAGATGATGCGTTGGTTACATATATTTATTATGTATTATTCGTGCTGCCTCTTTAGGACGCCCTGAATGCAATGCGATATGTGAATGGAACTCGCTTGGACGACAGAATTATCCGAACAGACTGGGACGCTGGCTTCAAAGAGGGCCGGCAGTTCGGAAGAGGTCGAACAGGGGGCCAAGTAAGAGACGAGGTCAGAGTTAACTTCGATGTGGGAAGAGGAGGATATGGAAAGGAAATGCAGAAACAGATGAAGCAACATGTCCGCTCCTTCTGAAGCTAACCTGTCCTAATTTCAAACCAGTCTAAAACAACTAATTATGCTGATTTATGATGATGTCTTTTTTTGAAATCTGGTTTGAGATGAGCTGAGTAAAAGTATAATTTGCGAGAATGTTTTCTCAGATTCAAAAGGAAAACTTTGATTTAGTTTCAGAATTAAAACCTTTCTTTGAAATTTGTGTTACGAAAATATTCAGCTCAACTTTCCAATTTCGATGTTCCTTGTCTTTGTTATAACTTTGTTATCATCAATATAGATTATTTAATTATCTTGTGCAATACTAGAAGCTTGATAGTGAAATTGAGATGCAAAATTTTAGTTAGTAGTTTCAAAATGTTAGCTTCACCATCGCTTTTTATGGTAGTTTTTCCGGTTATCCCAATGAAGTTGGCCAACAATTTCACCAATCGTCATTTCACGTGGCTGGTAACAAGAACCTCAATAACTCTGAAGTATTTGGTTTTCACCAAAAGACCGTAATTTTTGTGAACAAAACTAATTTTTTAGATCTTATAGCCCAAAAGCTCGTAATCAGCAGATTCTTTCATTTTTGAGACACCGGCTAAGAGATTAAAACCTATTGCTAGGTTTTTAAGCAATCGCCCTCCTCTTCCTTGTGGCCATTAGTTGACCACAATGACGTCAGGTCTGGTGATCACCCAAGATCATGCTTCAATAAAGGGCGAAGAAGTCAGTTTCTACGGGGGTGTTAAAGTAGCGGAACTTGGAATGCGCTACTGGTGTAGCATAATTAGACAACTGAGATGGACGGTTTGATCATAAAGCGAAAGTCGTAGCTATTAAAAAAAGATTATACTGTTGATTTTTGAAAACTTTTGAGATAGTTTTGGTCGTTTCAGTTGAAATGTATGGCGTCTTCCTATTTCGTTGTGCTGGATGGAGCAGACGCTGGAATATACAACTCCTTGAATGAGGCGGAAGCCAAATGTGGCTCCTTGGACGCCAGAACAGTCGAGAAGTACCAGAATTTGCCTGATGCTTTTAATTGCTTTCAGTCGCGCAGAGTTAGTTTGTCAGGATCTCAATCGCAGTCGCAATCTAGTGAAACGATGGGAACAAAAGTAGAAGAAAATATTATACGTCGCACAAAAAGCCAATGCAAGCCTAAAGCAGAATCTTTTGAACCAGAATTTTCAAATGTGACTGATGAATTTCTTCGAAGTCCTAAAAAGATAGTCAAAACATCTAAAAGCGCAGTGAATAGAGTTTCTTCTGTAAAGAAAGTCTCTGAAGTTGCTAAGAAAGTACCAAAAGCTGAAAAGAAAACACTGAAGTCTCCAAAAATTGACAGGAAGCCAAAAACCCGAAATGTCTGCATACAAGCTGAACGAATGGCTACAGCATGTGCCAAATGCAAAAATGGAGTAAAGCAATCCCAATCTCAAAAATGGGTGGCATTGATCGACAATGGGAGCCAGACTAACGTGGCGACGCTAACTAAAGGAATGCAAACTTCTGTTTGTGCTGATTTGGGAGGCTGTGTTTGCTGCATTTCGTCAGAGGTTTCTAAGATACAATTGTCGGAGGTATCATGGGACAGTCTAAGGTCACTCACAGTGCCTTTTCTTGGAAAACTAACGAAGGTTTTTTTTGGTTTATATCTCACAAACTTAATATTGGATCCCAAGAATGCATAGAATTGTTCACTGCGTGTTACAGGAGGGGGAATGTCTGGCTCCGCGAAAAGATCTTCCTACCGAGTGGTATCTGAGACACGATTGGTTCAGCCTCAAAGCTACAATAGCCTCAAGCAGGTCGAAGAAGAAAACGAATGCAAGAGCAAATTACCCGAGAAGTCCTCTGAACAGAAAACGAACCAGGGCCTCGACAATCGTTCGAAAAGCCTTGACGAGGAATACTCCTGGTGGAAGCGTTGGTATGGCAACGAATGGTTTCAAAATTCCAAAGAAGAAGAGGCGACTGGAAGAAGAGGTGGATGATCACGCGGACTCTGGCATGTCTGGAATTGGAATGGACATGGATTGGATCCAATGCACTCAAGCTCGGTTAGACGATGTGACATACGACTCAAGAGACATTCCACGTAAGAATTTAATTGAGTTAAAATGACCAATTCAGCAGAGTATTCGATGCACCACTGGCCGATTAAGTGGGGCGGGGGTGGGAAGAACCGGTAATTAAAACAAGAAAACATAAAACAAGAAGCTTGTGTATGATTTTGTGTTCTGATACCGAAAATTATTATTTAAGCTCACTGTCATTCTTGACCTATGTACTTGTCGTTCATTCAGGGTTTGAAATTTTATGAACATAGGTAAAGTATTCTGTTTTAAGGCTGTTTTTGACAAAAAACGAAACGAATAGTCTTAAATTTGTACTCAACTTTAGATGACTCGATAGGACTGGATTACGAAATTATCTTCTCAGACTACCTTTCGATGTCAGTGACTCACGTCAAGATTGAAGACGCCTACATTCAGTTGAATCACCAAATTCAAAACCTCGTTCGATTTCTCAATATGCTCTGTAGGCGAACCTCAGTGACTAAAGTTGAACTGAAAACATGCAGAAGTGGTATGAGAGCAGATGAACAATTAGCGCTTCTGAATGAATTGAAGTTTTGCATGAAGAAAACTAGGTGCATTGATTTTGCGTTTGTTTTTGACACACGCCTGCATGACAGAATTATTAAATTCAATAACGGATGGTCGGTGTGTTTGGGGAGAGGTCTGGACTATTTCCAAAAAAGTGATTCTATACTTGACAGAAACGACATGTCTGTACGTAAAACCCGGGCTTTCAGAGTTATAACTTATAAATCTGGAAAATTCTGATTTTTTGGTTGATTTATTTGGGTGCTACATGCCACGTATCGATGATCAATTAATTTACAACAATTTTTGTTTTAGAACTTTGAGAAATATATGATATATACGATAATTTTGTTTTGAATATGAGTCTTGTGGAAATGTAGAAAAGCGGATGAAAATAAATTTTCTTTAAATTTAATTGTTTTTAACAGCTCACTAGAATACTAAAAAGACCCATTGAGAGAATATATCAGAAATGTTAGTTTTTGGGCAATTTGCGAAGATTTGAATCGAGTTTTTTTTGTCACCAACTCCCCGTTTTGAGGCCAAATCAGTCACTTGGTTACTCAAGGGAAGAAAATTTCTTCATTGATGTAAGGGATGGTTACGCTTTCGATAAGCAAGCGTTATCAAACTGGAATATAGACATTTTTTTCTTGTTAACAACTAGTTTAACGAAATCAGTTGAATCACTTGCTGACTTCTTTTCACTTCTCTTCTTTTAACTTCTTCCAGGTTGCTTCCCCCTTGGCCTGGAGGTAAAACAGTTGCCTGTGTACCCTAAGGTCTGTAGTTCGAGTCGTCGCCGGAACTAGTTTTTTTTTTTTCATTATCAAGGAAATTGAAAAAAAATTCCGAGAAAATTGAATTGTTGGTTTTTCGTTTGTTCGCTCAAGTTTTGTCGGCCAAATTGCCACAACGGATTTTGCTTGTGCTGTAGAAAATTTTCTTTCTAGTTGCAAGTGCAAGCTTTGTTCATTCTAGTTTCAGGGGGACTGAGGAGATTTTTTAAAAAAATCATAGAATCTTTTTCCGTTCAGTTGTGTCTGCTCAAAGATTGTCGGCTTAGTTTTCACATCACTGATTTTTCTTGTGCTGTAAACAACTTGCATTGTAGTTGCAAGTGCCAGAGTTGTCCATTGGTGTTTAAGGTGGGACTTTAAGCTTTTTCAAATAAAATTATTATGTTTTTTTCCGGCTCAACTTGTGTCTGCTCAAAGATTGTCCGCTGTTTCTTTTCGTAAGTTTTGTTCCGTTGTTGCTGATTTGAAATTCAAGTGCCTGGCATGTTTACATGACCTAGTTTATTGCAAATTTTTTTTTTGGTTTTTATTTTTTTTTAATTTTTGTGCTGTATCGCAAGTGGTGCGAAGCTCCGCTTCGCCTCTGTGTTTCAATAACGATATTTCGGTTCTTATTTTCAGGTTATTTCATGTGGTTGTTTGCAGTATCCGCCTTATTTTTGGTCGCCACTGGCGATGACCTGATCCGCAAATTCGAATACCAGTACAGTTTCAAAGGCCCACAGCTAACCATAGACAACCAGGTTCCCTTCTGGAGCCATGGAGAAAGTGCTCTACCGAGCGAAGACCAAATTAGACTTGTGCCCTCAATCCGTAGCAAGAAAGGATTCGTCTGGTCCCAATTCGCATATGCCAGTAAAGACTTTGAAGTCGAAGTTACATTTAAAATAACAGGTAGAGGTAGAATCGGTGCCGATGGAATGGCCGTGTGGTTTACAGACTCACCTGGATTTGAAGGAAATGTCTATGGCAACCGAGACATGTGGAATGGATTAGGAATTTTCATGGATTCCTATGACAATGATGGAAAAGGAAACAACCCCTACATATCGATTGTTGCGAACGGCGGAAGCAAAAGTTACGACCACGCCGCTGACGGCGGAGACATGGTGTTGGCAGGATGCCAGTATGATTTCAGAAACAAGCCATACCCTGTAAAATTGAAGTTCAAGTACTACAAACAAGAAATAAAACTCTGGTACTCAGCTGGTCTGACGCAAGAACCAGAGTATGAGCTTTGCCTGACTCATTATTATGATAAAATGCCAGATTCCAAATTTTTAGGTCTTTCTGCAGCTACTGGAGGACTAGCTGATGATCATGATGTACTTAGTTTCTTGACGTACAGTCTGAGGCCTAAAGAGGCAAAAGATAGTCAGAAGATAGCAGATGCGGATAAAGAAAGACTCTCAGAGGAGTTCAAAAAGTTCTCAGATACAATGGAAGAGCGGAAGAAGAATTTCCGGGAGGAAAATCCAAGTAAGTTCAAGGATATTGATGATCCAGATTTTGAGGATGTCCAGGAGCGTCAGTTGAGACTCATCTTTGACGGCCAACATCGCTTGTTCAGATCTCTCAATGAAATCAAAGCCAAGTTAGATGGGTCTGGAAAGCCTGGAACCGGAACTAGCGGTAGTGCAGTATCTAGCGACCAAATAAGGCGGCTACAAACCGAATTAGGCAGTATAGGAAGCACAATTAACCACGTGTACACAGTAGCCAATGAGCAAAAGACCATTCTTCGCGAAATCCAAAATAGAGTAGTGCAAATACAAACAGGCAGAGCACCCAGCCCTGGACAAGTACCAGGTGCCACGACTGGAGCAGGCCTAGATGCAGTGGCTAAGGATGATTTAACATCAATCAAACAGGACCTAGCAGGACTAAAAGAGAATGTTCGAAAAATTCCGATTGAGTGTCCAAAGATTCCGCCTAGACTTTCAGCGTCCGCGAGTGAATCAGACGGAAACTGCATCGGTAACTCGACGTTTATAATATTTGCAGTACTTCAAATAGTCTTAATGGGTATTTACGTTTACTTCCAGCGCCAAAAGGAACAGTCAGCCAAGAAGTTTTTCTAACTTCAGATCTTCCTTTCGCTACGACGAACAGGTTGTGTCGTCCGGCCTGCTTTAAAAGCCGGGCTTGCTTTGCTAAGTTTGTTGGTGTAACTACTGTAATCAAGCTATGTTCAAGTTTTATTTTACATTCCTCGCAAATTAAATGTTCAATTTCAAAAATGAACCAGTTCGGTTTATATTAGTTATTGTTTTTTTAATGTCACTCTCATAGTCTAATATTTCGCTTTTTTGTGCTCTTAACAGCTAAAGTTGGTTGCCTGAACTGTTTTTACTTCTGATGATACCGAACTGGTTCTGTTTAGTTTTAAGCAATCAGTGCTATGATATCATACCTAAGTTAAATAAAGATACTAGTCAATCAATTTGGTGCGTGGAGGAAAGTTGTGTTTAAGTGTGACTGTTAATTGATTTGAATTAAGCTATAGAGTATTTACAAATTTTCATTATTTGTTAACTTCTGTGAAGGCTAATCTGACCTGACTAATTTAAAATTAGACATTTCAGTTTTTATTTCTGAACTAGCACCAACAAGGACTAAATATCCTGTACTTCCAGATAGGCAGATTCTGTACTTCCAGATTCCGTACTGGTTCTTGTATTCGATAAATGAAATTTTGAATGTCTCGCGACTGGCTTGTAAGTCTATGTGCTAACTATACCAGGGCGGTATCTAGAGTTTCTTGTACCTCGGTTTTTTTTCGGGTTTCTATAGCTACATCTAGATCAGCAGTCACATTTCTATCTGTCAAGCTTTTACTTTCAGCGCTTGTTAGTCTCTGTCAGTTTTGTTCACATTGATTTTGGTGTTTTTTTTTTCAGGGCAGAGAATGATTAAGTTCATGCTGCTGTTCAGCCGGCAGGGCAAAGTGAGGCTGCAACAGTGGTACGAGGCATATCCCGAGAAGCAGAAGAAGAAGACGATGCGAGAACTAATCGCAGTCATCCTGTCACGCAAGCCAAAGATGAGCAGCTTCCTGGAGTACAAGGAACTCAAGGTCATATACAAACGATATGCTAGTTTGTACTTCTGCTGTGCGGTAGAGCAGAACGATAACGAACTCATAGTGCTAGAAGTGATCCACAGGTGTGTACAACATGCTGTACGAGAGGTCAATATTTGCTCAAACGGCTTTTAAATGCAACCAGTTCAATTGACGGCAAAAGTTCAATCCTTAAATCGAACCTTTTGTCTTTGGATCGTAACCGTTTAATTTTAAAGGTCATGTGTTAAATGTTTATTTTTGGCATAATAATTACATGGCATGGCCATGGTAGTACATGGTAATTATGTTTTCAGGCACTGTTTGACATGTCTGATGGTTGGAAGTCGCGAATTTGAGTTGCATTTTTCAGGTACGTGGAACTGCTTGACAAATACTTCGGCAGTGTTTGTGAGCTGGATATCATCTTCAACTTCGAGAAGGCCTATTACATGCTGGGGGAATTAGTGCTAGGAGGTGAGATCCAAGAGACGAGTAAGAAAAATGTCCTCAAAGCAATAGCAGACCAGGACATTCTGCAAGAGGAACATGAGACGCGCAATCTTCTCGAGGAGATCGGACTGACTTAGTAATCTTGAGCTGAAAGGTCAGCTTGGTATATCATATTGAAAGCTGCGTGAAAGTGCGAGTTTTGAAAAAGAGAAATTGAGCAAAAATTGTATAGGAGAACTGCAGAGAAGTATTATTTATTTCAAGGTTTCTCTTCTGTTTGCCCAATGTTCATTCTACAAGTAGATTTATTTCCCAAGAGTTAGTCTGCGCATATTGTTGAAGTATAAATGCTTTATTTGTAAATAGTGTTTCTACGCCAATTTATTGTTTCAAATAGGGTTAATTGCAATTAATTACTGGAATACACTCATGGTAATATAGTTTGGGCTATTATACGCGTCAACTTTTTTTCTCTATAATTTGATTGAGAAAGGCATTGGTGGTAGTTACAGGAAGAGGAGGATCTAAGGTTTTCTCGAGGGGGCGGTGATTTTCAAAAAATTGCCAAAAATTTGGTTGACCTTTTTCTATTTTTTTGTGACGCGGGCGAATTTTTGGAAAAGCAGATCAATTAAAACGTTTTTAGGCTCTTTTGGAAGGCTTTGACCAAAAATTTGGGCGCGCTTTTTTCGCTTTTTTGGCGCGCTTTTTCCGTAATTATTTATTGACACCAAATGCGCCTTTGGAAAAGTTTTTAGGGTTGGTCAACCAAGTCCTAATTTAGTACCAAAGGTCAGGTGGTCGAAACCTTCCCCCTTAATCCACTTCTGGTAGGTAGCAGGCGATATAAGATCTCCGGGCGTAACATCTCATTTTGTTACAAAAATTCAGGTACCATTACTTAACTTCAGTTGGAGTCGTGTTATGTACTGTATTGAAGTCCTTTATGATGTAGTTTGTTTACTGGAGCGGAGCGTAGTGTCATATGAAGCCCTTAAATGACGCTGAAGAACTGATAGATACAATGCTTTGTTTTGTGCAAAGAAACCGACCGGAACAGAAGTCAATGGAGAGCACTTATTCGAGACCTAACTGTGGCGGCAAAGGGCAGCATTGCTCGTAAAATTCCTATCTGGAGTGTCATATGGTGAAATCTATTTCTTTCTCAGCCACAGTCAAAACTAAAATGAGCAAAAACGGTGGCACTTTTGTAGCAGTACCATTTTACCAAAGCGAAGCGAGGTGTGATACGACACCGTCAATTATTTTTCCAATCCAAGGTGAAAAGAAGTGCCACGTTTGGTGGCACTTGTGCACCAGGAGACTGCAATGACAAATAAATATCATAAAAGAACCAAAAAAAGCTATTTGTTTCACAGCTAATAATCATTATTCAACAGTATAATAATTGAAATTCGATTTCAGAATTTTCATGCAAAATTTATCCGCAATTTGATTTAATAATATCATATTTCTTACATGCGAAGTTAGCACTTATTCGAGACCTAAATGTGGCGGCAAAGGGCAACATAGCTCGTAAAATTCCTATCTGGAGTGTCATATGGTGAAATCTGTTTCTTTCTCAGCCACAGTCAAAACTAAAATGATCAAAAACGGTGGCACTTTTCAAGCAGTACCATTTTTACCAAAGCGAAGCGAGGTGTGATACGACACCGTCAATTATTTTTCCAATCCAAGCTGAAAAGAAGTGCCACGTTTGGTGCCACTTCTGCACCAGGAGACTGCAATGACAAATAAATATCATAAGTGAACCAAAAAAAGCTATTTGTTTCACAGCTAATAATCATTATTCAACAGTATAATAATTGAAATTCGATTTCAGAACTTTCATGCAAAATTTATCCGCAATTTGGTTTAATAATATCATATTTATTACAGCGAAGTTAGCACTTATTCGAGACCTAAATATGGCGGCAAAGGGCAGCATTGCTCGTAAAATTCCTATCTGGAGTGTCATATGGTGAAATCTATTTCTTTCTCAGCCACAGTCAAAACTAAAATGAGCAAAAACGGTGGCACTTTTGTAGCAGTACCATTTTTACCAAAGCGAAGCGAGGTGTGATACGTCACCGTCAATTATTTTTCCAATCCAAGCTGAAAAGAAGTGCCACGTTTGGTGGCACTTGTGCACCAGGAGACTGCAATGACAAATAAATATCATAAGTGAACCAAAAAAAGCTATTTGTTTCACAGCTAATAATCATTATTCAACAGTATAATAATTGAAATTCGCTTTCAGAATTTTCATGCAAAATTTATCCGCAATTTGGTTTAATAATATCATATTTATTACATGCGAAGTTAGCACTTATTCGAGACCTAAATGTGGCGGCAAAGGGCAAGCATTGCTCGTAAAATTCCTATCTGGATTGTCATATGGTGAAATCTGTTTCTTTCTCAGCCACAGTCAAAACTAAAATGAGCAAAAACGGTGGCACTTTTGTAGCAGTACCATTTTTACCAAAGCGAAGCGAGGTGTGATACGACACCGTCAATTATTTTTCCAATCCAAGCTGAAAAGAAGTGCCATGTTTGGTGGCACTTGTGCACCAGGAGACTGCAATGACAAATAAATATCATAAGTGAACCAAAAAAAGCTATTTGTTTCACAGCTAATAATCATTATTCAACAGTATAATAATTGAAATTCGATTTCAGAATTTTCATGCAAAATTTATCCGCAATTTGGTTTAATAATATCATGTTTATTACATGCGAAGTTAGCACTTATTCGAGAGCTAAATATGGCGGCAAAGGGCAGCATTGCTCGTAAAATTCCTATCTGGAGTGTCATATGGTGAAATCTATTTCTTTCTCAGCCACAGTCAAAACTAAAATGAGCAAAAACGGTGGCACTTTTGTAGCAGTACCATTTTTACCAAAGCGAAGCGAGGTGTGATACGACACCGTCAATTATTTTTCCAATCCAAGCTGAAAAGAAGTGCCACGTTTGGTGGCACTTGTGCACCAGGAGACTGCAATGACAAATAAATATCATAAGTGAACCAAAAAAAGCTATTTGTTTCACAGCTAATAATCATTATTCAACAGTATAATAATTGAAATTCGATTTCAGAATTTTCATGCAAAATTTATCCGCAATTTGGTTTAATAATATCATATTTATTACATGCGAAGTTAGCGTGGTTGGTTAGGGTCCTAGCCCGCTCATTTTTTGGCTACGTGGTCTGCAGAAAGTGCTATGAGCAGGGAAATTTATGTAGCCAAAAAGTGACAAGGTATTTTGGTCAATTTAACGAAGCCAAAAAGTGACATACCCCTTGTCACTTTTTGGAACTTGGGAAAAATTACCAAAAAGTGACAAGGGTCTACTTTTTTTGGAAAATAGCTGAAATTCGTCTGAAAGACCTTACTAAATTACCTAAAACCATAAAAAGGTTCTTATTTTATTGAATAAACACAAAAAACTAGAATTTACATAGTTTTCAACAAGTAAATTGACTAAAAGTTAGAAAATAATAGGAAAACAGCCCAAAAAGTGCTCAACCCAAAAAAAGACCCCTGGCCCCAAAAACAAAATAAAAATCGATAATTATATGAAATAAAACATAATGTTACGAATTAAACCTTTCTCAAGATGGGATTGACTGAAAACTATTGTGAAAAATAAGTAATTGAGTATTTGATGCCCAACGCTAAAATTGGGGTGAAGAAAAAAAGCCTGTTTTCTCAACCTCATTTGTTTCGGAAATTAGCTGAAACTCAAAAATCACACCTAGTAAAAACACTTAGTAATTCCATAAAAACACCAAAGAGCAGCAAAAAAATTTGTTGCATCTTTGAAAACTAGAATTATTAGCATTATCAACACGCAAATTGACTAAAAATAAAAAAAAAATGGAAATTGAGCCCAACCCAAAAAAACACTCCTAGCCACAAAATCATCCAAAAAACAAAAAGTTCGATATGAAACTGAACTAAAACATCATGTTGCGGTTAAATCTTCTCTCAAGAGGTGAACCGACTAAAAATTTTACTGAAAAACAAAAAACTGATATTTAAACCCCCAAACCAAAGACTGAAAAAAATGTTCTTCGAATTTGTCAACACCCAGAAAACAAAATTAACCCCAAAATCAACCATAGCATCTCAAACCAAGGGGAGATATATACCTAAGAAATTTCACTTTTCAACAATGAAAAATTATTCACACTTTTTCAGCAGGGTTTGATTTTGAAAAGCAAAAAGTTCAATTTAAAAAATTGATTTTTCAAACGTTTGAGAATTTTTTTCGAACTTCACACCACTTGATTAAGCCACGAACGGTTTTCCAGCTAAAAAGTGTCTACAAGTTTTTCAACTTATATCAGGGACAAATTGTGTTCAGATTAAGTGGTTTAATAACCTGATTGATGGTGTCAGTGAAGTTTCATCTCCTTGATCAACGTATTCGAAACTATCAGTGTTCTTTCGAAAAATTAAACTAGTAAGAAGACCCAAATTTTTTTCAATCGAACTATTTACATTCAAGATATACTTAAGACACTATGGAGAGTGTACATACACAATTTCATCAATTTCTTGCCAATGGTTGTTGAGAAAAACCACCTTGATGCAAAAAAAGCCATCACACCAAAAATGTTCCTCCGGCTCATTTTTGAATATCTCAACTTGTAAAAATCTCATTGAAGCAGAAAGGCGTCAACCAAAAGCTGTTTTTAATTACAAAACGGTGATTATCAGAACAATTTAGAAACAAACATTTTTCCAGCATACCAAAAGCAAAACTCTAGCCAAATTTTGATTTGAAAAAAATTGTTTTTTCAAAACTTATCTATCTTGACTTAGCCACAAACGGGTCTCCGGCCAAAAGACCATCTAGGAGTTTTACAAAAAAGGTATTAGACACATAATTTGTTCATTTTTTGTGGTTTCACAACTTGAAGAAAGCTGTCAGTGAAGTTTCATCTCATTGAACGATGTGTTCGAGAGTATTAGTATTCACTCCAAAAATGAAGATCGTAAATTGAGCCAAAAAAATGTGTACACAATTTTACTCATTGAGGTTGTTTTATACAGTTTACGAGGAGTTCACATACACAATTTTAGCTGCAGAAGCTCAATAGATGATGAAAAAATCAAAATGGAGGAAAAAATCCCTAACCTCGAAACGAAAAAAATCAGCTCAACTTCGATTTACCCATTTTGTAAAAGTTGCATATCGATGAATTAGTAGTCGTTGGAAAGCTCTTTATATTGGTTAAACGTGGAAAACAAAAAAAATATAGTTAAAATCTTTAATAGCTAACCAAAGGCTATAACTTTTTCAATTTTCTTGTCAAACTTCATCATAATTGCTTTAGCCACATTTAAATTCAAGCTACAAAAGTATCTGAGACATTTCTGAAGTGCATTAGACTAGACTTATATGGGGATCGTTTTTTAACTATCAGAATAAATTTGTCCGTGAA